TTAAAACGCACATTTCCTTGCGGTAACCCACACACACACACGCACACATACACACACACACACACACACACACACACACACACACACACACACACACACACACGACCACTCAGACACGCACAAACACACATGTAGTACGGCTGGCACTGGTACGACTACGTCTGTAATCATATCGTAGTAACGTAATAATTGCGTACCGGGTGGGTAAGGTAAAGTGACGGTGGGAAGAAGCGATTCCTCTATGGCGGCTAGAATTCTACTAAGCTGCTGAGGTGGTACCAATGCCGCTGGCAATCTGCCCGACAGTAATATGGCCACATGATGCCGCAATGCATCTATTTGTTTCCGTGCATGCCCAAAGGCGATTTGCAAACCAGCTAGCGCTAACTGTAGCTGGTAAATCATGACGGATTCGTGCGCAGCCTGTGTTCACCACTCATAGATCTGTCATGTCACAGTTTCTACTGCCCTTGCTATATTCTTTGTGTCCTGTATAACGTCCTGTAGAATCTTCGCGTTCATTTGCGTATGAATTGCTTGATCTATGATATGCTGGGTTTGTGTTTGGGATACTTCCATAGATGCTATGTGTTGTTGTAGTTGTTCGACATCGTCGTCTGTCGTGGTGCCAAACAAAAATTTACTAAGCTTACTAAATCCCCGAAAAAATCGACCGAGTCCTACGTGTTTGGTGTAGTGCGTGTAAGTCATGCATCTTTTGTTCGAGTGCATTCATGCGATCAGTAAACCATCCTACTTGGACCTAAAACATTCTATAAGCGCTAACTGCTATCTGAATTGAAGCCCGCTTTGACTGTATATCCGCATAGTTTTCGATATTGTGCTAATCGTGCCACGGGAGTCTGTCGTGTAAATTTACGCGTCCTTAACCCTGATCTATGTCCACCCGGTAGTTTTATCTCTTGCAATACCACTAATTGCCTTAACGTGTCCATATAGTCATTCATAGCCGACAGATTTTGCGATAGTGCTAATGCCCACGTAGACTGCGTGATTGATATTCGACCCTTCTGCACAAACAAAGCCCCCGCCTTCTGTTGACGTATCGCGTTCTCTGCCACCCCCGTCGTAAGTAGTGGGAGCACAACTAGCAACCAAGCGTGGGGCTTCATCCTTGAAACAACAGGAATACGACTCATTTATAGCGTTAGTGACCTCCCTTCCTGCCAGCAGGTAGATGCTACATTATAGTCAAACAAGGTCCGCTAACGGTCGTAAGTTGTCTTTGTCCCATTCGTCATCAGATGGAGTCATATTTATGCGATGTCCATGTACCATCTTCGCGCGCCTGGGGTGTCTCTGTCGGTCCCCCTTAGTGTTCTGTATGTCTCTGTCACCCTGTGTTTTGTTCCATGCGTCCGCTGGATATGCTACTTTTAAGTTATCTATGTGAACCTTGTGTGTGCATGTGTTATCCTGTCTTTTTATTCTAACTACGAGTGGTGTCACGTGCTCTACGACAGTGTAGAATGGGAGCCATGCAGAATGTATCTTGGCGGTTTTATTTGGGCGTAATACTGGGCTATAACAGTACACTGAATCCCCAACCATGAATCCCTGTTTCTTTGCTCGTTTATCGTATAATTGCTTATTTCGCTTTCTTGCTAATCGTGTATTTTTGTGTATTTCTGTCCATGCGTGGTATAGTCTATCTGTTGCCTGTGAGATCGGGTCATCTGCATACTGGATCCTGCGAGGACGTAATAACACATCTAATGGTAATCTCGCTTCTCTCCCATGCATTAAAAAGAAGGGTGAGTAGCGCGTTGTCCCGTGCATAGATGTGCGATACGGAAATAGCAACCCACCCGTCTGTCCCAGGAAGAATGGTCTTTTACTACGTAGCATAAAATCATATTTCCTAAAGTTCTATGAAAACGCTCTACTAACCCATTCGACGGCGGGTGGTAGGGTGCCGTAGTTACATGCTTAATGCCTAACTCCTTGGCTAGTTCAGTCATTAACGACATGCAGAATTCTCACCTGCGAAAGAAATGCGTATTGCTCCTGCATGTCTCTAAACGTGTCTATTGTTATGTTAGCCGGTAACTGTATAGCTACCATCTGTACTGGTTGCTGCGCTAATGGCTTGGCCTGAATGTGGGCGACACTAGCGTGTTGTGATTGCATTGTTTGTGTGGAGGCATCGCACGACAGGGAAAGTTGGCCCTCGGGTAATAATCTAGATAAAGCATCTGCCTGATTGTTCATCTGCTGCAGCTATTTTGGCATAATCTTTAACAAATTTTCTATAGTACCCTGTTAACCCAAGCAGTTGGCAGATGCCCTTAAGATTTGCGTCACAACACCGGCGGAACACCTCTTGCAGATGCTGCATGTGTTCTTCGAAAGTGGCGCTGTATATCATTATGTCATCCACATATGCAATAGCGTACTTGTGCTGTAGGACTTCTAGTACACGATTCATAACCCTCTGATACTGCCCTGGGCAAGAAGCCACTCCAAAAGGCATGGCCCGCCATTCCAACAGACCATTAGCAGTTACAAAAGCAGACTTATGCTGATCTTTCTTTGCTAACGGAATCTGGTGATAGCCGCTCCTCATATCTAGACAACTGAAAAATTTAGCTTTCCCAAAGTTTTGCATGACATCGTCGATTACTGGTAAGGGGAACACGTCTGGTCGTATGACTGAATTCAACCGTCTATAATCCATACACATTCCCTATTCCCTTGTCTTTTTCTTAACTAGGAGGACCCCCGAACTCCACTCCAAAATTGAAGATGTAATCAGCTCCGTCTCTAGTAAATGTTTGACTTGCCGATCAACTTCCTCTTGCTGTGGCACGGACATTCAATAAGGCGCGGTTTTAAATGCGGCTGCATTTCCGGTATCGATTGTCATTTCATATAAATGGGTAAAACCCAACTCCTTGTCCGTATGTGCGAATGATGCCCTATGTGTTGTTAGAAAGTGTGGTAATTGTTTCTTGTGTTGTGGGTCTGTGACATGGTCTGTACGTTCGCCGGCATGTTGCGTTGCTTGTGCTCTTGTCCTGTACATAAATTCTTCATGCTCGCTACTAACTGCCTCATTTCGCCTACACTCTGCAGGTCCCTAGCGGTTTGCTTACGCTTAATCAAATCGACCTCCATCGGGTCAAAGAAACTATCCTCCCTGTAACGCTGAGTATCCCGATTACGTAAGTGTATTGCAATTCCCTGTTCCACGACCGCTTCCCTATTGGCTAACTCTACAGCTGCCTGCAACGTCTGCGGCTTTTTACAAGTTTTTTGTATTGCAACAAGTAACCCATCTAAAAAAATGTCGGTTAACCGTTTCTGTGTTATTTCGTGTTGTAACTGATCCCGGGAATCGCTAGGTGTGCAAGTTGTCTTAAGCGGTTCGCATAATTGCGAATAGACTCTCCCTTCTCCTGGTAAAATAGCTTTAACGCGTTTGAGCCGAAGGATCAGACATAGGGTCCTTATAGCGTGATTGCAAAGCCTCATACAGTAACAGATTATCCCACATAATTTCCGGGTCATCTATTAACAGGCGACGGGTATACTCGGACGCAGCTCCCCCCCATGGTGCTTATTGCTAGATTTTTGAATTCTGTAACCGTTAAATTCAACTCCAAATGCGCCCAGCCTAACTGATTTATCCATTCTTGAAACTTAGGTCCCATTAAAGCCTCATTCCCCATAAACTTAGGAATACTCTGTCGAGCCTCCGCTATCCTTAAACCTCTCGTAAATCGCTCAGCTACGCTTTCCATGGAAGGTTTAAGACCTTCACTAAACACCCACGTAAGAGATTCGAACGTGGCTTCTGCCATTCTATCACACGGGAAAACGGGCCAGAGGTGAATGGTGATATAGGGTGAGAGAACGATGAACGCACTGCACAAATGCACACACAAAAAACTACAAATAATGTTCCACTTACCCGAAGAGCGAGTCACGACAGTAAAGTTCTTTCAGCCACGTAGATCGTAGTTTGCAAACTCACACGTGGAAGTATTTATAATAAAACGGTAGTTGTCACCGTTTATACAACTGCTACGTCCTACTGTCTACGTTCGAGATATATTCATCACTACACACACGCGCACACACACACATGCACGCGCGCACACACACACACACACACACACACTCACACACACACGCGCCGCACGCACGCACGCACACACACACAGTCACACACGCACGCACGAACGCACGCACGCACGCACGCACACACGCACGCACATACACACACACACACACACATACGCGCGCGTGTACACACATAGGTGTGTAGCGTGGCCGGAATTGTGAGTTTAGATTTGCATGTATACGGCGTGGTGTGGCCTGGCGTATACCAGGTGCAAATCTACTACTTTAATCTGTCGTAATGAGGTG